ATTCATTCATTCATTCATTCATTCATTCATTCATTCATTCATTCATTCTCACACACACACACACAGTTCTTAGTACCCCATTTTCATTGAATGCTAGTTACTTTGATGTAAGTACATAGATGACTGTCTCTCTCATATAAAAAAATGGGCAGAAGCCACTTCTGCTTCTTTCAACAAACATTTCTTCCTTGCAAGAGACCACATATTACCCACCACATTTCTAGAAGTGTTTGCACATCCTAACATTTCTCCATTTTTCCCTTTTACATAAAGATTTCACCAAGGTACACATTTACTAGCTTTAGTTTATCATCATTTATATATAACTTGCTGTTATTCACTCAATTTCCCTGGTCAAGCACTACTATCTTGGTACTCAATACATTATTTTTCAGCTCAATACTCCAGATTGCATCACACAATCCAACATCTGCTACGAATAATTTGTGTTCCCAACCAACACCACATCATTAGCATATAAAAATACATGTGCATTGACATTTCCAACAAACACAACTGTAACATCAAGCATTCCTTATATGTTTATCCATAAGTACATTAAACATTGCACATCCTTGAATTACTCCATTCTCAATGTTGAACAATTCATTAAGCATTCTATTTATCCTCATGCAAGCTTTTTCCCCCATGATACACCACTCATACTGCATTCAGCAACCAAGTTTCCAGTCCATATCCAAACAAATATTTCATAATTCAAGCATTATCTCTTTATCATATGCTTTCTCTAAATCCAGTCTACAATTAACTTTCTCATACATTTCACTCATACATCTGGTCTACATACCCATTGCACAGCATAAAGCTGCACTGTTACATTGCATTTCCCAAATTTTGCTCACTGTCACTTGTTATACACTTTCAGTCATAATTCTGCTGAACACTTTCCCTGGCAACAAATTAATCCTCCTATAGCTTTTGCAATTACTTTTACTACTTTTCTCATACAACATTCTTCCAATTGTTATTCATATATGCAGTCTTCACACACACATTAAGCCAACTGTATAGCCACTCCATAAGCAAACTACACCCATATTCTAACATTCTCCAGTTATACTATTTACACCTCAGCCTTACCATTTTTCAACACTCTCACAATATTCACACCATTGCAAGATGCTGGTTGTCACTTTTAAAGTCCTATATTGCATGGGGCCAGGTTACTTATTCCCAATGATTCTGGCCATCCCATGAGATTTGGAAGTGTGGGCATGCTCCAGGTCCCACTGATGAAGCAGTATAAGCTGGTGGGTTCCAGGAAGCTGTTAATAGCAAGGACAGTACAGGGCAGTTTTAGCACATTTGGCCAGTATGCTACAAACACAATGAAAGCCCATTTTTACTTGAGCATGTTCATGTTCTTCTATGCAAACTTCTAGATCTCTAATCTAGAGACAACACTGCAAGCCAACATACTGTTGCCCACATCCCATCAACTCAAAGATACAAGTAATATATTTAGACGTAGTCAGAACAGGACAATAGGATAACCTGCTAAAATACAATCTCTTAAGAGTGTTTAGTCAAGACAGTAAAACGCTTGCTGATTTATTTCAAGAGCAATATGGCTTTCTGTTTGATGGAAGTAACATAGTCCTCTTCAAATGTGAATGCCATATAAACTGATGTATATATGGTGTATACACTAAATGGTGTATACACACTTATATATTGCACGGAGCAGCAACTGAACAGATGACAATAATAACGACACACAGATTGTCTAGGTTTACTTTTTTCCTTTTATTTCCCATTACCGATATTGTAGTGCAATTTTAAAACCAAACCTTTGTAGAAAGCAATTCGAAACCAATTCAAATAGCTGCACAATGGAACAGAATCCCTGAGCCCAACTTCTTATAGGCTTTCTTTGTTCCAAGTACTTCATCGGTATGTTAAATATTTCCCAAATACTTATTTTGCTATGTAATGTTAAGTAACCAGATCAAGATTTCTGGGTTGTAATTTCAGAAGAAAGTTTGTTGAACACTATTTGGACTGTGAGCAAATATATCTTCTATTTCACTTTGAGAGTGGATGTCCAGTTTCTTGGGAATTAATTTTACTGAACTTTGTAGGGTTTACTTCTAAGCAAGCTTGGATAAGAACAGAATACGTCTGTTAGTCCCCTAACCTAGTAACTTTGAACTGGAAGAGAGGATCTAGCTTACATTAAGAGCAAATATCCAGGTCTTTCACTTACATGGCAGGTTGTTTTAGAAAGGGTAAGCACTATTACATACCCTCTCACCACTTCTTTACTTAAAATTGCTACCTAGGCACCCATCACTCCTCTGTTATTCTAAGACAGTGTTTCTCAACCTTGGCAACTTTAAGCCATGCTGTCTGGGGAATTCTGGGACTTGAAGTCCACACGTCTTAAAGTTGCCAAGGTTGAGAAACACTGCTCTAAGAATGAGGCTGATTATAGAAATAATCAGAATCTCACGAGAAAAGAGTATAATATATATTTCCTCCTTTCTTATTGCCTTTAAATCAGCTGGTTTGGAGATGTCTACAAATAGTGTTAATAAATAAATGTTTGAATGTAAAATCAATCCTCTTCAGTAAATGTAACATTTCCTTTTGCAGAACCATACATTTTCCCTCTTGCAAATATTAAAGCAGGTTGTATTATTACGACCTACCATACTGAGTGCAAGCTGTGTCTCTTTCCAGCTGCAAAGAAATGCATTAGTCTTCATATTGAAGGTGAAACATGAAGTTGATAAGTTGTGTTCAGCAGTGAGCACTTTTGCAAGGTTTTGCCAATGTCAGTTTAAATAAATAGGAGCCTGTATTCAAATTCTGAGGAGCTTAATTAAACAAATGTTTTATTTGAAGCAGCTGATCTTGATATGAAGAAGAGGAAAGAGGTTGGATGCAAACAGAACTTTGACTACCTAAGGCAGTGTTGTCCAAACTTGGCCACTTTAAGATGAGTGGACTTCAACTCCCAGAATTCCCCCCCCCTCCCTTCTGGCTTGGGGGATTTTGGGAGTTGAGTTCAATCAACTTTAAATTGGCCAAGTTTTGAAAAAATGAACTAAAGATAAAAATTTT